GGGGGGGGGATTAGAGGCAAGAATGAGAAAGGGAGCCGGCCATGGCATCCTGAACTCAGGAGGCAGATCTCTGCGAGTTCAAGGCCAGCCTGGACTACAGAGTGTCAGGCCACCCACAGGTGCGTGGTGAGCTCATGGTGGGGAGAAGGAAGATGGGAAAGAGCAGAGAGAGAGGAAGAGCTACATGTTAGACAGAGGCCTCGGTGCACCGAGCCCTGGGGGAACGGAAGAGCCTCAGCCGGGAGCCTGACGCAGGTGCGGTGCCTCCGCAGAGAACGGCACCGCCCCCGCCCTCCGCCGGCTGTCCCGGGAGCTCATGGGGCCGTGGAACAGAGACGAGATCAGGACGGCAGACGCCATCTTCGTCCAGCGGGACCTGGAGCTGGTCCAGGGCTTCATGCCCAACTTCTTCAAGCTCTTCCGGACCACAGTGAAGCAGGTGGACTTCTCAGAGGCGGAGCGGGCCACCTTCATCATCAATGACTGGGTGGAGAGGCACACGAAAGGTGAGGAGCGGCGGGAAGCAGGCAGTCCCCACGGTGAGGGAGCGGGAACCCTCGGCTCCCCTTTAGCCTCATGGGGAAAAGGCAAATGCTTCCGGAACCAAAGTAGAAGAGCTCGTATTTGTCCCTTCCCTTTCCCCCTGTGGTGCTGAGGATGAGAGCAGGGCCCATGTCTGCTGGGCAGTCACTCTGCCACCGAGCCACAGCCAGCCCCTCACTGGGGGACTCTAGGCAGGTGACCACTGAGCCACAGCCAGCCCCTCACTGGGGGACTCTAGGCAGGGGCTCCACCACTGAGCTGTAAGTGAAAACTGTGTTTGTCTTAGGCTTTTTTTTTTTTTTTTTTAATAAAACCACACAGAGCCGGGTATGGTGGTGGCTCAGGTCTATAGAAAGATGATGAGTTTCATGAGTTTGGAATTAGCGTGAAGCGCATAGCAAGACCCTGTGTCATCGTACCCACCCCTCCCCCTGCAAACCAAACCAGGTCAAGCCAGATGCAATGTAGTCTACCTCTAGTCCTGCTACCTCACAAAACAAACACCAACCAAATCTCACTGGGACCAAGATGGCCCCACCGGTACGGGCTCTGGAGTGCAGCCTGGTGACCTGAATTGATTCCTGGAAGCCACGAAACTGTGGAAGCAGAGAACCAGCTCCACGTCGGTCACCCTCTGACCTCCACCTGCCCATGTGCCCCCCACACACAAACACACACACACACACACACGCATGCACACACACACACACTCGCATGCACACACATGCACACACACACACGCATGCACACACACACAC